GTAAAAAGTAAATTTGCAGCTGATATACTTCCTACAGCTGGATAATAGCCTCCTCTTATTTCTAAGAGAGAAATATTTTCTTCACGATATTTTCCTTCACCGTGGAGAACGTGGTTTATAATGTTTGTAATTAAAAAATTCGTTCTTGGATCGAACGCGGGTTGTTCGGATACTGTGAAATTTACGGCGACCGCTTAGCCTCTGAACTACGAGTAATTGAATGAGTGGCATGATATGAGTAAATATAAATTAAGAGGTCATCTGCGACTCTTTCTGCCAGCAGTGAAATATTTGACAGATTTCATAGCGGGAAAGTTGATTTTCTTTCTAAAATGATATTTACCTTTCTTTAATATTTTACCTTTCTTTTTAAAATGATATTAATATTTTAATTAGATTCTAAACAAAAAATGTTAAAAAGAGTAAAAAATTAGCAACACCTTAAAGAGCAAGCTTGTTTTGGGTATTTGAAAAACGAAATGTATTAGAAACCGATAAATTTTTATTTCAACCGCTACTTCTCAATTATAATGACACTGTAACAAAACTCTATTGTGGGAAGTGAGAATATGTCAAAGAAGGCACGTATGGCAATTCACAATGCTGTGTAAGTCCCTACCATAATGTATGGTTGTGAAAGTTGGGTGTGGCAGACAATTTTCTGTAGAGTGGTCATTAAGGAGTATGTTAGGGCTGAATCTGAATGATAAGGTGAGAAATTGTCTGATAAAAGAAAAGTGTTGCTTGCAAGATGATGTTGTGACCAGGATTAAGAAAGGAATGCTTTGTTGGTTTGTTCATGTAGAAAGAATGTACGAGGAAAGAGTTACAAAGCAAATTTATGTAGCAGAAATGAACGGAAGAGTCGGGATGAGACGCCCTAGACGAATGTTTGTTGACTAAATTGGCGGTGTATTGACCTTGATTGGTGATTGAACCCTTAGACGACGAGCATGTATGCGTAGGTATATGGATGTAGGGAATGTAGGGTATGGATGTGGGGGATCGTGCCAAGTAGAAGTCCGTAGTCTTCACCTACCCCTCTGCGTGTCTTGGTTAGGAGTGTTTATATATTATGTGTAATAAATAACTTCATCATACTTCCAAAAGTCGCTACCTGGTGAACAAAAATTTTAGCCCTCATTGCAGACTTGTTTGACTTGTTATAATATAACAAATGATTATGGAAACTGTGAAATCTTTAATTAGGCTGTTTAAAATTGTTTTTTGTTTTGTTTTTTATAGAGTAAGTTGTCACTTACTCTATACGAGCACACAGTCCTCCTGATGGTAAGTGGATGCTGTGGCCCATAGACATCTACATTTATCTTCAATTAAAAATCAAAATGCAGATGTTTTGCCGGCCCTGAGGACTGAGATGGAATACCTCGTTTCTAGTAAAAAGGGTCTCCGGTTCTCTACCCTCACCAAGAAATACAGCAGCATTAAGCTACTATTTTACGCTGGTATTCTGTGAGAGCGTGGTCTTTCCCCGGTCGAGCCAACCCAATTGTGCTGCAACCACAATATAGCTGCAGCATGGCTCTACCACGTAAAAAGTCATGTTTCATATTATATTTTAATCTAGGTGCTATTGTTTTTATTACATTTATGTTCCGCGCATCCAATACCTATTTACGACTACGAATGCTCCTAGTGATGTGACAAAAGTGATACTTATTTATCGATGGTGCTATTAAATATTTTCATATGGTTAAATTATATAGTTTAGCACAATGAATATTAATTCTTCCAATGCATGAATGGTCATATGGTTTACCCTAATGCTATTTCTGGTCGGGTAGACTTTATTTGGCCGTTTTCGGTATGTGGCGCGATTACTTTCATTTCTTAATTACGTTTAGGAGTGATTTTTGATTAATGAATCACTGGAGTAGGAGGATGTCAAAAACTTTTAAATGGTTTAATTTATTTCTGAATTAATAATATTATGTGAATACGATATGTTTTCACTTTCACTGATTACAGTTTTATTAGTTAGTAATTTTTAACTCCAAATCTCAGAGTGATTTAGAGCTCTCTACCTTCGAAACTCCCACCCTCTGCTCATAACTCAAAAACTCTTGAGTACCTAGAATCCCAAATTTTACGAATTGACTCACGAATCAAAAACCTAGGCTACTCCTAAACGACTTAATAATTTGACCTTTGGCATTTAGATAAATTACTAGGCTTTTACAAAGAGAAAAAGTCTGAAAACTAGAATTTACCTATATTTGGTGTCAAAAAATTGTCGACAGTCACATGATTAGAGTTAGTTCCAAGTACTATACTTGAAATTTGCGTAACAATAATTTGATTGAGATTTAATTCTTATACCTTAATTAAAAAAAAGAACGAATAAAACGCAAGAAAAAACGTAAAAATTCATGTACCAAAAACAAAAATGTGAAAAGGGGGTCAAACTCCATACAAACGACGATCGGGGTTGTCGGCTTTGCTGATAAAAGAGTTGAGATCTGAACGAGTGCCACGTTTTATGGCAGTTCCTTAAATAAAAGCTAATACGTATTTAAAATGTTCTTCAACTGATCTAAAATAAAAATTGTAACTTTCTCTGATATTCAATTAGTAACTTGACAAATTTCAATTTGGCATAGAATATATTTTTTAGATGTTCACAAATTACAAAAACGAAGTACAAATTCATCATCAAAGAACGTAACAGGTTTTAATTTAAATTCTCTAAAGAGTTTCCTTATTATATATGATTTAAGGAACTAGTATGAAACTTGGCACCAGATCAGATCTCAGTCCTTTTATCGGAGAAGCCTACAATCCTGATGTAATTTGTACGCAACTTGGCCCCTTTCCATATTTGTGTTTGGTGGGATCTCTATTCACTTCAATTTACTCAGGACTTTTTACGGTGTAAATATGAAAATGTATCTGTAACGCGACTACATCACATCACAAATACAGAGCCAATCCGATCCAGATTTAACTGCAAAACCAATAAACTTGTATTTGTGAATATGAGCCATTTTGTTCCATAAATATATAATTAGTCAATAACTCGACTACAACCTCACTCATTGGATCCTAGCATATGAAAGAATTATTCATATTTCGACTCTAAACTGCGGATTCGTAAGAATTTTATTGACTTTTACAACTCGAGCCACGTATTGAGTTTATTTTTTTATTGATCCACCAACATTTGTGTCATTCCTTACATGCTAATTAAATACAATGAAGCGATAAGAACTAAAATGTACAAATAATTACAGGCGGATACATCATGCAAAAAACTTTCTCAGCACTGTGTACCTATAATACTAGGATAAAGAAAGATTTAAAAAGAAATTATAACGAAATACAGTATAGTAGGTACAAATATTGAGTTTATTGTGAATACATTACTCAAGTCAAACTTTTGCAACAACAATACAATCTATACGTAATAATTTATTTTCTGAGAGAAAGGCTCAAGGCGAAACTTAAGCTTGACATAAGTGGGCAATAAACTTCAACCAATTTGGAGATTCGCATCTGCAGGCTCTTATTAAAGCCCGAAAGTTAGTCCTTTTCATCCATCACTCGTAATACGTATGTGAGTTATTGTATGAAAAATTGAAGAATAAATTGAGTCGCTGCAACAGCGGCGAGACATAAATCCCAACTGAGCCCTCAATATTGTTTTAAAGGGGAAGTGGCCATAAATTTTATCAGGGCCGCCCAGCGCCGCGGGCCCGCTCCCCGGACCCACTGTCTCCGCAATTTTCCGCTCATGCTTGTGCATTCGCCGCTCATGTGAATTTGTTGCGTTATTAAAGTAGAAATTGAAATGTTTCTTGTGAATGACTATCATGATCGAAAAATATTTCGAATACGACTACATTTTGAGTGTTAAGTAACCTTTAAAATTCCTTAGATATCAATAAAACACTTTTAAATATTGGTTTCACAACCTTGAAATAATAACAGTAAGTTAAAAGACGGCTGTAGATATCAAAATATTAATTTTCTTACAAGTATGTTTTATAAAAGATTCGTGTTTTGAAAACCAATTTCACATAAATACCGAAAATATTACGCGTTATTATTGATTCATTTCGATTTATGTGTATCAATAAATTGATATCACATATTGAAAACAATAAGAGTACCCGTTCAAAATATATTACAAAGAAACTCTTAGTTATTAGATTTTCCATTTTCTCGAATAAGCTTAATGGCTGTAATAACGTGAAACACGATTTTGATTACGATAAAGGCTCGTAAAATGCCGCGAAAACCAGAAGGGGGACGTTTGTGAAATATGCTTTTTATCTTTTATACTTTTGTCTTTTCATTTATGTTTTTTGAAAAGTAATATCGATATAATTACAACTACTGTGCTAATGTAAATATATAATTGAGTCAGTTTCCTGTGTAGAAAGTGTCCAGTTGTATTGTGAAAAAAAACTGCTTATTTTGATCAATACTATCTGGGTGTTTGACATTTTACATAAATGTGATATTGCAATATCGTTCGTCCCCTTTTTAATAACGCGACGGACGATGCCGGTTGGTTTATGGCACAACCCTTCCCGCGTTTTATTCATAACCTGCTTGTCCTAATATTATAAAAAATTGACGTCGGCAAACCGACTTTGTTTCGTTGGATACATTAATTTTATTTGCTTTTGATGAAACTACTTTCAATGATTAAACCGAAAGTTTAGTTTTATTTCAGATATGCATATCAAGTTCTATGCGCCACTCTGTATTTTGTAATATTATTATACTATACAATGTTTTTTACATTATTATCTAAGCGAATTATAACAATTAATAACACATATTATGACGGTTATAAAAACTTTAAAAACTCATATCATCCATCCTGTACTTGATTTTCTTTTATCTACCAAAAGATTAAACCAAAAGGATCATTTACCTTCGATCATTTACTCAACGAAAAGAATGATTACATCTCATTGTTATTTTAACCTTCATTAATAAATTAATCTATTCTATAACAGATAGGTACTTACTGGCGGCGTTGTCAGCTTTATGCATGGCCGGAGGATCACGAATCATGTTGAGATTGTCACTCAAACATCACCCGGCTTAACTTAAGTCCTGAAACAATCAATATTCTCGATTATTTATAGATATACCTAAATTTCTTTAACAGAACCGCACTGTGATCGTGTAACTCTGGTAGGAAAAGTTTCCGATTGAAAAAATCACTCCGCAACTGCTTGCATTGATTAGAATGAGTAGTTTTTGCGTTAATTATAACCATAGATTTAGTATAATTTATGATAATAATAATAAACAAACTTTATAACCTAAAATAAGATTTATTGATATAGAAATCAACTTTGCATCCTTCCATCCGTTTCAGCCTATAAGAGTCCTCTGATGAACATAGGATTCCTCATAGTATCACTTTGATATTCGCCTATTTTAAATAATTCCTTACGATTTTGCAAAGATGGTTTAAAATTTCAAGTACTTTGCCTTTGATGCCTATACTAGATAATCTTTGTAGTATTAAATTGGTGCTAATCATGTCAAAAGATTCTGTAAGATCTATAAAAATTCCTAGAGTAATGAGCTCAAAAATGGAGCAAGATTATTTAAAAAAAAATTGGGACGGTAGATAGCAACTATAACTGTATTTTCAAATTTGATTACAAGACAGCTAGCTTCAGAAAAGAGAGGTTCTTCGACTGAGTGCTTAAGTGAATTTTATTGTACAGGACGACACCATCATTTTGGTTATATAAGCCCTCAGTCGCATAAGACGAATAGTCGCACGAAATAGATACATTATCGGGATAGCCGACGTTCCGAAAGGATAATAATGTAAAAACAAATTTTTAATTTAGACCGAAGAACAGATAATCCTTCAATATTTATCTTTATACTCCTGATATTTTGTGATAAAATTTTTGTATAGTTATGCAAGCAAGGAGGTGTTAAACGGTTAAATTGTTCCTGGTCACAGATCATAAATTCGGATACTAAGACGTCATCGACGTCAGCTTATAAATCACTCATATTGTTGACGCCATAACATATTCCTCTCATTAATATCCCGTAATCATCATCATTACAGCCTTTCACAAGTTCACTGCCGAACATAGCCTTCCCCTAAGTATTACCACAAAGAACGGTCCTGAGCCACCTGCATCCATAGACTTCCTGCATGTCTTACCAGGTCGTCACTCCATCTAGTGGGGAGTCGTCCTACACTACGCTTACCGGTACAAAGCTGCCACTCAAGAACCTTTTTTCCCCATCGGTAATCGGTTCTTCGAGCTATATGGCAGGCCCATTGCCACTTCAGCTAACTAATCCGTTGGGCTATGTAGGTTACTCTGGTTCGACTGCGAATGTCCTCATTTCTGAGTTTATCACGCAGAGAAACCCCGAGCATAGCCCTCTCCATAGTTCGCTGAGCGACCTTAAGCGTCCTCATACGGCCAGCAGTGAAGGACCACGTCTCAGATTCGTAAGTCATCACTGGCAACACGCACTGATTGTACAATCTACTTTTCAGAGTTTGAGGTATACCTAACGAGAAGATGTGTCGTAAAATCCTCTCGCTGCCCAGCCGAGTTGAATCCGTCGATTGACCTCTCGGTCGAAGTTGGACTTACCTAGTCGGACTATTTGTCCCAGGTAAACGTACTCATCAACAACTTCGAGCTTAGTGCTCCCAATAACTACCGGCATAAGTGTGACATGGACATTAAACGTGATCTATGTTTTGTCCATGTTCATCTAAAGACCTATCCGTTGGGTGACACTATTGAGGTCATTGAGCATAGTGCTTAGGTCCTGCAGCGATTCTGCTATAAGGACTATATCGTCGGCAAATCGAAGGTAAGTGATGTACTCGCCATTGATGTTAGTACCATATCCTCTCCAGTCCAGTAGCTTGAAAATGTCTTCCAATGCAGCGGTGAAGAGTTTCGGGGATATAACGTCACCCTGTCTTATTCCTTTCTGCTATTGGATAGGTTTCGAACTCTGGTTCTGTACTCGGATAGCCATCGTAGCCCTACTGTACAAACACTTCAGCCCTTCGATATACCGACAGTCAACTTGGCACCGCTGAAGAGACTGTAGCACCGCCCAAATTTCGACGGAATCAAAGGCTTTCCCATAGTCCACATACGCCAGGCAGAGTGGCAGATTTTACTCTTCGGTCTTCTGTACAATCTGCTGTTGCGAATACACATATCTCAGGGTAATTATTTGTGCTTTTTTAATTGGGCATATAAAAACACACTAATTTAGAAATAATGAATATCATCTAAGGAATGTTAAAAAATTTAAACTCCACCTCCTCTTTTGTTTATCCTATATAATAAATAGTGTACATAATAACAAAGCATTTCTAATCTTTTGGCTTCATCCTCACCTTTGATCTAAGTCTATGTGAGCATAATAATGTCATCACACATCAAACGTAGGTACTTGGTTTTACGATGCTATTGGCATTGGCGTAAAAACATTTCAAAGATTTTTTTACAAAACTATGTCAGTATATTTATCAGTTACATGGTATTTTTTTTTCTGGTAGGAAGCTAGGTTTTGTAATTGCTGATTTGGATGTGAGTGAGTTTATTTTAGATATTACAATTTTAGATGTACTTTTAATATATTTAATTACGAGGTTAATTTTTCAAATTGATTTCTTTAGTTTGGTCGGATTTTTTTTAAATTGTTGCACTGTCTAATTTGTTCTTTAAATTAAAATTTAACTTAACTAAAAATTAGAGCCACGTGTTCAGAAGCTTATACATATTATATTTTATTAAATTTTTAATATTTTCATTCTCCTTTTTATTTTGATTTCGGTTTTAATTTTTTCACGTTTATTTTTATAACAAACATGGAAATATCACAAGTTCAAGGTAACAACTAAAACGTCGTCTAAACAGTTACATTAAATAACTATTTAATAAAATTGGAATGACTAATTCAAAAACAAAAAAGTATTATGCTCGAACATATAAAACTTATATACAGACGAATTAAGAATCCTCCTTTTTTTAAAGTCGGTTAAAAACGTTGTCAACTTATAATTGATACTCAAACATTTGCAGACTGTAACTAAATCAAACGTCAAACGTATAAACGAAGCCAACCGATTCCCAACAGATTCCAGAGTTACAAAATCGCTATACAATTAATGCTAAATAACTTTTCTAATAATACGCTGTTAATTTCACTCATATTTACTACTTTAATAGAACTTTATACATTTTCAAGATTTTATAATACTAAAGTAAAGCAGATCTTTGAAGTTAATTTCACAATTTTGAATTAAAATGTAAAAAATAAGTCACATTCAATGTTTTACTGCCAAGCTCAATAATGAAGTAGATTTTAATGAAAAATTAAATTTATTTATAGAAAATAAATCTTAAGGACGCGTTTACAAAATGGATAGGTATAGAATCGCACTACTACATTGACAAAAGTCACACACACACTAGTGTACGCACGGTTGGCTGTGGGAATCGTAGTCAAATGAAATTATTTTGATAATTTGAAAGATTGAATTTGTTTTTCATTTCTTATACCTACCTCAGAAATATACTTCGATACGAAATATGAATACCTGCTCCAAAGACTGCTTGGCACTGGAAGCCCTCTACTGGTAGTGAGATGTTAGCTCTGGACTTTGAACTGGTTTTGTCAGTTATAATAAGACCTTACCTACCTGCGGACTTGATGGAGTGACCTGAAGGTGTAATTTGGTGATTACAACAATAGGAACTCCTAGACTAGTGGAACTAGGTGTGCCGAGTTTGGGTTCGTTTTGTTGGTTATGATGAGACCTTACCACCGGACTTGATGGAGTGACCTGAAGGGGTAATTCAGTAACTACTGCTGGAATTTCTGAACGAGTAGAACTAGGTGTGCCGAATTTGGGCTCCGTTTTGTTAGTTATGACGAGTCCATACCTCCGGACTTGATGGAGTGACCTGAAGGTGTAAATCGGTGATTGCAACTGGAACTCCTAGACTGGTGGAACTAGGTGTGCCGAGTTTGGGTTCGTTTTGTAGGTTATGATGAGACCTTACCACCGGACATGATGGAGTGACCTGAAGGTATAGTTCGGTGATTACAAGTGGAACTTCTAGACTTGTAGGACTAGGTGTGCCGAGTTTGGGTTCGTTTTGTTAGTTATGATGAGACCTTACCACCAGACTTGATGTAGTGACCTGAAGGGGTAATTCAGTAACTACTGCTGGAATTTCTGAACCAGTAGAACTAGGTGTGCGGAATTTCACTCCATCAAGTCCGGTGGTAAGATCTTATCGTAACTAACAAAACGAAACCAAACTCGTCACACCTGGTTCTACTAGTCTAGGAGTTCCATTTGTAACCACCTGATTACACCTTCGGGTCACTCAATCAAGTCCGGTGGTAAGGTCTCATCGTAACTAACAAAACGAACCCAAACTCGGCACACCTAGTTCTACAAGTCTAGGAGTTCCACTTGTAATCACTGAATTACACCTTCAGGTCACTCCATCAAGTCCGGAGGTATGGACTCGTCATAACTAACAAAACGAAGCCCTAACTCGGCACACCTAGTTCTACTCGTGTAGAATTTCCAGCAGTAGTGACTGAATTACCCCTTCAGGTCACTCTATCAAGTCCGGTGGTAAGGTCTCATCGTAACTAACAAAACGAACCCAAACTCGGCACACCTAGTTCTACCAGTCTAGGAGTTCCAGTTGCAATCACCGATTTAGACCTTCAGGTCACTCAATCAAGTCCGGTGGTAAGGTCTCATCATAACTAACAAAATAAGCCCAAACTCGGCACACCTAGTTTTACTCTACAAGAAGTTCAAATAGCGGTCGCGAAAGTACACCTTCAGGTCACACCATCAAGTGCGGAGGTAAGGTCTCATCATAACCAACAAAACGAGCCCAAACTCGGCACACCTAGTTCCGCTCGTCCAGGAGTTGCAGTAGTAGGTAAGTTTATATATCCTACTTATTTTTAGCGAAATAAAAAACTGTGAGTATAAAAATAATAAT